AGAGTAGGTCAATTCACCAATAAGATACATGAGTTGTATCAAGTTGTATCACAATGTATTTATTTCTATGTATCATATCAGCACTAGTATATATAATCTGTGTTTATTTCTGTATCATAGAGTAGGTCAATTCACCAATAAGATACATGAGTTGTATCAAGTTGTATCACAATGTATTTATTTCTATATATCATATCAGCACTAGTATATATAATCTGTGTTTATTTCTGTATCATAGAGTAGGTCAATACACCAATAAGATACATGAGTTGTATCAAGTTGTATCACAATGTATTTATTTCTATATATCATATCAGCACTAGTATATATAATCTGTGTTTATTTCTGTATCATAGAGTAGGTCAATACACCAATAAGATACATGAGTTGTATTAAGTTGTATCACTATGTATTTATTTCTATATATCATATCAGCACTAGTATATATAATCTGTGTTTATTTCTGTATCATAGAGTAGGTCAATACACCAATAAGATACATGAGTTGTATCAAGTTGTATCACAATGTATTTATTTCTATGTATCATATCAGCACTAGTATATATAATCTGTGTTTATTTCTGTATCATAGAGTAGGTCAATACACCAATAAGATACATGAGTTGTATCAAGTTGTATCACAATGTATTTATTTCTATATATCATATCAGCACTAGTATATATAATCTGAGTTTATTTCTGTATCATAGAGTAGGTCAATACACCAATAAGATACATGAGTTGTATCAAGTTGTATCACAATGTATTTATTTCTATATATCATATCAGCACTAGTATATATAATCTGTGTTTATTTCTGTATCATAGAGTAGGTCAATACACCAATAAGATACATGAGTTGTATTAAGTTGTATCACAATGTATTTATTTCTATATATCATATCAGCACTAGTATATATAATCTGTGTTTATTTCTGTATCATAGAGTAGGTCAATACACCAATAAGATACATGAGTTGTATTAAGTTGTATCACTATGTATTTATTTCTATATATCATATCAGCACTAGTATATATAATCTGTGTTTATTTCTGTATCATAGAGTAGGTCAATACACCGATAAGATACATGAGTTGTATCAAGTTGTATCACAATGTATTTATTTCTATATATCATATCAGCACTAGTATATATAATCTGTGTTTATTTCTGTATCATAGAGTAGGTCAATACACCATTAAGATACATGAGTTGTATCAAGTTGTATCACCATGTATTTATTTCTATGTATCATATCAGAACTAGTATATATAATCTGTGTTTATTTATGTATCTCTAGGAACAAGATGAATTCTATAGAAGGGAACAGGATTTATTGGGTAAAATAGATGAAGTCAAAGATGCTAATTTAAAAGTGATACACATGGAAAGGGTATGTGCCTTTTTGATTTATTGAGAAAATTTTCATAAGGGTTGTTTTCCTCTTTATATAAGCCTGAAAAAAATGACTGTAATTTCTGTAAATTTGATGAAATAGTCTCAGTGATAGCAGCTTAGAGTTCAGGTCATGTGTTCTCAAAATGATCTGAGCTCTAGGATATCCTAGGGTATTAACTTCTAACACTGTTTCTAGGATATCCTAGGGTCTTAACTTCTAACACTGTGTCTAGGATATCCTAGGGTATTAAGTTCTAACACTGTGTCTAGGATATCTTATAGCTAAGATTGTTTTGAGAATACATGGCCAGGTTTTTCTGTCTGGTATTAAGACAAATCTGACATCTGAATAAGTGTTTATAAGTCTAGGATTATGATGATATTTAATATATTTTTTTGTAGAGAAAAACTGATGAATCTGAAGAACGAGTTAAAGAATTAGAAGATAGAATGAGACAGTTGATGACAGAAATTAAAAAATTAGAATTAACTCTCGATTCTACTCTCAGAGAAAAGGTAATGCTCCTTCTTATTTTATTAAAGATCTTAAAGGGCGAAGGGCCAAATCCAGCAGAAGTTTCAGATATCTAACCTAGTGCTGTCATTAATTTTCCACTTTTTTTCTTCTTTTCATTTCATTACAGGACATATTTCAAATCAATTGAAGAAAACTGTGCGTTTAAATATTTTTGTACAGAATTTATAAAATAGAGATTTTTTGTGTCAATTTTGTTTTATGAAATTAAGATATTGAATAATATATATTTTTTGTAGGAAAGTGTAAAAGTTGAAATGTCTATCATGGAAGCCAAGTATGAAAGTGCTACCAGAAAACTAGAGGTTGATTTACAGGCTCAAATGGAAAAAGAGGTACAGTATATGTTTATGATATTCTCTGAAATTACAGGTTTGTTGTTTTGCCAGTTATTAGGGCTTTAAAATGGTGCAAATCGATAAGTGTCCTTGATCGCAGTTATAAAGTTATAAAACAAACTCTTTACAATCCCCTTAAAAGAGCATCAATATTGACTATGATATTTTAGATCTGTGAACAGATAGAAGATGTTCAGAAGAAAATGGAGGGAACTGTTAATGAGATACAGGAACGCCATCGTAAACAAGTTATAGAATTACAGAAACGTCAACAAACTGACCTGGAGAAACAACTTCAAGAATTCCACGAACAAGTTTTAGAAAAAGAAGAGGAATTACGAAGACAGATTGTCGATGGTGAAAATCAGTAAGTCTGGACCGGTTTCTAGTTTTTTTAATAATTAATAAATCTATTGTCTGAGCTAAGTAAAAGATTTTTCCATTATTTGTATGAGAATTCGAGAAGCCGCCTCAAAATAGTACTGTTAGACTTAAATTGGCCAATCAGACAACTGGATTGTCATATTCCTGGAATTTAGCTCTGGTACATCTAATTTACATATTTTTTCATCAAAATCTATAAATACACACCTTTTTGTCTGATAATGATTCAACATTTTATTTCCTTAAGGCCACACCAATTTAATTAGTTGAATTACGGGCAAAACTTTTGAAAAAAGCAGGGAGCAGGGGGGGATAAAAATAAAAAAAATAAAAAAATCTGCATTTCAAGAAGACGAAAAAGGAATGTATTTAAAACTTTATTTATATCCTTTGGAAACAAACAAACACCAGATTAAACCTTATGGATTTAAAATTAAATTGTCTTAAAACTGCTATGGGTGTAACTATCTCTACATCGGTAGTTTCATGGTCTATTTCGATACCGGCTTTAACGCTGGAGACGGTTACTTCTTCTGTGTCCTGCCATCCGGAGCGCGTCAACAAATTACCAACATTTTCGTCATCACAGGCACGCACTATGGTTCGTTTTGTGACACGGCCCTCGGTACACATGGAGACGTTGATATTAACATCGAGTTTAACGCTCATTTTCTCACATTTTCACATAGATGTATTTTCATCACAACAATTGAATAATGGCTGACGAGAGAATTTTTACAAAATTTGCAGACTGGAACGAACCAAATCACAAATCATGTGTTGTTGGTTTATTTTAGTTTTTGAAAGGCTTTTCCAGATTTCCAGAACTAATCTCATAATACAACAAATTTTAAAACTATCTAGCCAACAATCAACATATTACAAACCAATTTATCTTTCGAATGAAAATAGCTTCGGTTCAAGATTTATTTTAGAAATTTGCAGGCACCTCATTTGCATAGTCGTACTTGCTTTGTAGTACCGTTATCAAAAACATCGTGGAACTAGCCTTTTGTCTCAATAACACTGACTGACCATTCAACAGTGAACGCTTTCGCTAAGCGAGTACAACTTATCAACCGAGTTACGTCCCTTTAGGATTTCGTGTTGAAATTTTTACATCGGCGGACACGGTAAGAATAAAAAAAAAAATAGATTTTTTCATTTTTATTTTTATTGGGATTCGTCAAAAAAGCAGGTCGGCGGGCCCGTAATCCAAGTTTATAAATTGGTGTTGCCTAATGTCTTTATAAAAACTTACATTATATTTTTAGGTTGAGAGAATACAGAAAAGAAAATACATCATTAAAAAATATCAAACAGAAGTTAGAGTCACAGAGGTATTGTATATTATATTTATATTCT